CCTTGAGAAATTGTGAAAATTATAAATATTCAGTAACGCTGTTCTTCAGAGGTTTTGTTGTCAATTTCTAACTTGATTGAATGTATTGCCGAACTGTTCTACTTGTGACATTTGAATGATTTTTCATAAACATCTATCAAGTAACGAGACAGTAAATGAAATCATTAATCAGTTAATCATTAATCATTAATAATTAGAAAATAGATACCCTTAAATACAAAATACTTCGACATTTCTCTGGAAGAACGAAGGAATATTCCGGATCTGTATAACAGCTACATCTTGTTTTGTTGTAACATTATAAAAAGCTTAAATCCACTAAAATGGATCATTATTCTCTCCCTTCCTGACACGCCAAGAGTTTTATATAAGGCAGTAAAGGAACATATATTTCATTTCACGTTTTAATAAAATGGGTTCTTGTAGCTCTCTCAGCGCCAGAATGTATAATGTAGGTTGGCGCCCCTGGAGGATATTTTATTCCTAATACTGTGCCTAACAGTACACTCATCTATGTTCGCAGACTTGGAGAAAACTAACAGGGATTTAACGAAGGAGCTGAAGGCCATGAGGAACACCGTCAATAAACAAAATAGGGAAATAAAGCAACAGGCCAGGATAATAGATGACGCGAAGCAGCACCCCAGAAACGTAAACGTAAGTTTGGGATTTATTAGGGACCAAACCTCTAAAATATATAGATGTACGGTAAACAGAAGAGTGGCTATTATTCGCGTTTCCCTTATTTCCATTTTATACGAGACGATTCGCATTAACGTGACACAATAGTAATGGTTGCTGTTAAAAAAGGACCTATTGAACCAAATCTTACTAATAGCAAACTGGAGTGAATTGCAATGTTTTAGTGGTTGGTGTGTATTGTATTACTGAAATGTCGTCTTTGGCTCTGACATATTATTGTAACTACCATTTTTATGTGAAAGGAATCCTACAAATTTCAATGGCTTTGTTTTTTTTTTCAATATTAATTTCAGTACCTACCATCTATCACATAATGTGTAAAAATTTAACAATATTGCTAAGTAACTGGTTTCATATGCTATTTAATTAATGAAATAGGAAACAACTGCTATGTAGACTAAAGCTCGAACAAGCATTGAATTACATCAGCAATATCTGGTAGTCAGTCAAAATCATTTGTCAGTAGAACTACCAGACATATACAGGCTGTTACAAATAAAAATAAAAAAAACGGTAAGAGGTACGAAGTAGCTTAAATGGGGGCAAAGTTGCGTAATCAGGAGACCAACATAATGCCTCTAAAAAATCAAGGCTAACATGATTAGTTTTCGAGATATTTGAAAAAACCGAAATTTTGAAAATCCGTCTTTTGTTTCATTTCAGCCTTGTTTAAGGTGATATGGAAAAAAGAACACTTTCTCATGGCCACTGTTTGCCCTCTATCGAATGTCATAATCAATTATTATATGCAACGTTTCGTCTCTCCAGGACCATCATCAACTTAATTTTTTTAAATACGACCCTAGGAATTTTATTCCATTTTTTGCAAGCCTTCATGACCCCCAATACTGCACTGCCTCAGCCCGAACCAGACGTTTTGTCTCGAAAAATTCATCTTCAGTGTATTCGTTCCAAATTTATCTAAATTTTTTATTTACATTTGTTTGTTTATTGAATTATCGTACACTGTAAGTATCGTTAGACCCTGTGAAATTCATCTAGTTATTAAAACTATTGCCACCACGCGTTACAATAAAAGATTTATTATTATCAACTATTACCATCACTTGGCCTTACATAACTCAATGACTTGTTGCGTCAAAATTAAAACATTATTACAATTTTAATTTTATTATGACAAATTAATTCTTAAAAATGCATATGAACAGCCAAAACGCCAAATGAATATTATTCTTTAAAAAATTTCAGTAAATGTTCAAAAACATTTTCGTTTTGACAAAGGTTGAAAATGAAGACCAGCGTAATATTATCGCAATTATTATTTCTGTAACCGCAACTGTGAAAGAGCATGTCAGATGTATTTGTATGAATATTCTGAAAAAAATAGATCGGAATTTGTTTGAATGTTGAGCTCTCGAGAAGCCTAGAAATACTACACGGGAATAAAACTCTAATAATGTTGTTTTTTTTCAAATATTTCGAAAAATAATCATGTTAGCCTTGATTTTTTATAGACATAATGTTGATACACTTTGAGCTAGTTTGCAACTTTGCCCCCATTTGAGCTAGTTTGTATCTCTGCCTGTATAGATTTCACAACACTATATTTGTAGTTTAATTTTTTTTACATTCTACTTCATTCATCAGGACTACAAAATGAAATGCAAACTTTCTGATGAAAACTTTCTTGCAAATCTTTATCTTAGCAGTATGGACTTTTGTTGTTTATGGAAAAAAATAGAGAAAATGATCTAAGCATGTATCTTGAGTTGAGTTGAGTGAAGAATCCTCAAACTATATTAGGATTTGATCTTTGTTCTAACATCCCAATAATTGGATTTACTAATTTTATGAGAAAGTTTAATATATCCGCCTATCTTTTATTCAAATAACCATGAATTTACATGGTTATGGTTCACTATTGCTCCACTGCTCACAATCTTGCCTTTAATCATGAGTTCTTATGTCGATTTTTGGAGGATCCCTTCCCTTTGGAAACGTTTTAGGAAAAACTGTTAACCTTACTTCCTTTTGTTCATTCCGGGATCAGTCCTTAAAGGTTTGCAGCAACGCTGCCGTTACTTATACCATGTACATTTTTTAAGGAATCCAAGGAGAAGAATTTGGAATGCGTGTACAAAAATAGAAACAGCGAAATGTACTGCTCTTTGAGGGACATCAGGGAGGTACCTGAACATCACCACCAATCGTCGTACGTTGAATTGTATCAACAAGAAATTTACGTTCAGGAGAAAATAATAAATTGGGATGGAGGCAATCATCCCCCGCAATACACCAGCATACCAGTGGCATTTACATCGAGACGATTAGATAATAACGGTGACAACGTACGGAAGGAGAGTGATGACTTGAAAGAGAGAAAGGTATCAGTCACCGCTGACGGTACGGAAACCATTGTTACGGGCAACGCAGAGACCGAGTTACAGCGAAGTATAAAAAAGGACGGCGCTCCCGCGTTTTGTAAGTCAAAGTCAGGAGAATGCGAAAAGGGGGATTTCGATGAATGCGAGTTGATGAAAGATTGTTCCGAGGAATCCATACCGCGAGTGTGTCATCCAAGGACAAAGTTTAAGGAAACGTACTTTCAGCAACGGTATTCGGTGATAAATGACCACGTGGAATACTAGAATTACAGGGTGTCCTCGGATGGAGTCGAAAAGAGAGGAAACATTTTTATTTTCCATTTTATGAAATAATCTGTACAGTGCAACTTGTGAGTTACAATAAATAGTTACGAATCTAGTAGTTGATTTTATCTTTAAAATCCAAAAATACATTGTTTAATTAAGAAACTATAAATAAGTAGTCATTTTCGAAATGTTACTGTAGGTGTCAATAATAAAAAAATTAAGTTGAAACTAGACGTCTTGAAAAAACGACCTTGTATGGTCAAAATGTAATTTGTGGTATGTTTTTATTATTTTTTATCGGTAAATTGTTTTTGTATATAATACAAAGAAACATTGAGTAAAAGACACAATATGTTGGCCCACTTAAATCTACATTTCTGTATATTTGATCACAACCATAGTTTTTTTAATAAAATATGTATAAGATTTTTCCCTCTTTTCGACTCCATCCTGGGACACACTATATATTTATAAAACTGTGACTATCAGTGAGTTATCTTGCACAAAACATGTTATTCGCCTTTTGAAAACTTTAAAAATAAAATTACCTATTTTTATTTAGGTCTTTTTTAAATATTTATGGGATGGTGCGTTAGCGATGGGACAGAATAATGAAAATTTGCTTTATTTTATGTAAAAATTGAAAACTACTTTAAAACTAAACTATTTTTTTTCTTTCACTTTAGCAAGAACATGAAATATGTCCTACATGATTTGATATAAGATACAAATTAAATTTGATCAAAAAATGAGAGCATATGACATGAAAAATTGGGTTTTAACTTCTTTTACCGATTAAACTTTGACAGCTCTATTCCATTCTTCGTGAAACACTTTAAATAATGCTATTTTGTAGAGGACATGTTGTCTACTTTGCCTTTGTTTTTAGCAAATTGTTAATACCATGCATGTATGTTAATATACAACTAATAACTCAACCAAGACTTTGTATAATAAGCAAAGTAACTGATTATCTACACATCGCTAATTCGAAAGACCCTCCGCTTCTTCTAAGGTTTCTGTATTGATTTTCCATGCGGTGTTCAATCAGCGAATATTGTTGTTCCTCGCTGAGTAGCTTTTTGCAGAGCTGTGGGACGGCAAAGAATATTCCCCATAATGATCTACACATTAGCCATTAGTCTATCCTTGTTCGAGGAGATTGGGTCACTTAGAGAATGGCGGAATTAGTCTTGTTGCTAAAAGGTCCCTAAATTACCGGCGACCCTTTCTGGGTCGGATGGTATCACTTATTTCCTAATCTAACCTTTCTTGGAGTTGACAATTTAATAACAGACATATGTGACAAAGCCAGGATATTTAAATTGGGTCTAATGTAAATTATGGTCAAATAAAATGTAAATAAATTTACAAATATATTGGACGTCTCTGTAAGGATAATACCTTGTTGACAAATCATATATGTTTGTTGCTCTGTTTATATCTTAAATGATGCTTAAAAACTATTTTTTTTTATTTCAATTCTCAGCATCCAAAGACAAACTTCTTACTTTATTATAATCTTGATTATTTATAATGAAATGTATTCAATTAAGAATTCCGAGTTAAGTGCGAAAATACCTAAACAAAACTTTCAAGCAATGCATATGTTCTGGAAATAAATTATATTTTCCAAAATGCGTACCAACAATTATGTCATCTTAGATGTAAATAAAACGCTACGTATATTTTTATAAAAATGTATTCTAAGAACATGTTTGGTTACAAATAAATACAGTAAAAATATAGTACAAAAATTATTCTAGCATTACTTCAGTCTAAATTTTTCGCAGGAGATCTATTGTATCTGAAACAAAATACACGAATTACAAAACGCTAAAACATGTAAATAATTTATTAATGAATAATGCCAATTTTATTTCGAAATTAAATCGCAAAATTGTTAATTGGTAAACCAAAAAAGTGTGACATCAAAATAAAGAGAACATATAAAAAAATCAATATGATCTATCTTCCAAATTATTAATTGCGTGAGTTACTATAGGAGACAAAAAATTATACTAAAAGAATATTGTATTCTTTTACCAAATCCATTTTCCAAAAAAATCTTCGTCTACTGAATTTGCTATATTACTTTGATAACTCTACTAGATGTTTTCTTGTTTTGGGTATCTGCTTTACTGTACTCTTCTCTTAAAAAGGGTTCTCTCCATGAAAATTCTGAAAAATTTGTTATTCCGTTAATACCTTCTCGAAAAAAATACAAAAGAGGTACAAATTTCAGTTTGTAATTATTAACCTTCAGATATATAAAGAGCCCTTTATCTTTGCCTAACGGAATATGAAAGTATGATATACAGTGTTACTTTATACAGAGTGTCCTTGCGTAGGGGTTACAAATTTTAACACCAGGTACAACTCGTCAAATAAAAGTTTATATAAAATATGTATTAAGTTTGCTGCGCTTCTTCAGATATTAGCTAGAAAGTGTTAAAGTATTTTATTAAACTAAAGTTATCAGTTATCAGACAAATTTGTTATAAAATTAGAAACTAAGGAATAGTTTCTTCTTGCCACTTACCACACTGAGTATTTTTATCCTCATACCGTCTAGGAGTGGTAAACAACATCCGTTTCAGTTTGCACATATTCCCTAATATAACCCCAACCCACACACCGCCAAACGCCCACAGCAAACAATTTTTCAGGGAGTATCCTATGCAAAAGAAGTTGTCGTTTTCAGTTTCGGTTAAGGATTTGGTGTTATTCATGTATTGTAGGTTTACCAAATTCGCCTCCTTTGCGTTCACTTCGCTGGGGTCAAACGTTTTACCGTTACAAAATGCTTCTACTAATATCTCAGTCAATTGTTCAATCCATTTGGGGTGTGAACAGTTCCAGGGATTGTTATCTATTATCAAGTAAAAGTGATTTTCTTCCTTCAACTTATTCAGTACGCCTTCTGGTAAGTATTCCATTTTGTTATGAGAAATGTTCATTATAGTTAAAAATGGAATCAGTTCTATATCAAAACTGTCTAGGTTGTTTAAAAGGTTGTGCGACAGATCCAGAATACGTATGGAGTTGTTTGATGCAAAAGTATTTGAGTTGAAGTCCTGCAAATAATTATCTGTTAGGTAAATCTTCGTCAAGTTGTATAAATCTTCGAATGCTCCTTCTTCTACTGTCTGTGTTGAGGTGTTTCTCAAACGTAAAACTTGAATGTTTGGAAAATTGAGGAACATGCCACCTTTTACAACAGAAATAAAGCTATTTTCTATTTTCAGTTCTTGCAGTTCATTACTTTCGTTTGTAGTTAATGCTACTGTCAAGTTGTCATATAAATTGTCTTCTTGTATGGCTGTACAGGAGACGCTGTGGCCTGATGCGCTGCAGTCGTATTCTGCAGAAGCTCTGTAAAATAAAATCGTGACTGCAAGGAATCTAATATAATTCTGGTCCTAATAGAAATTAAACTAGAACTAAAATTTTCTTTTTAATTAATTAAATAGTTGATTAGTAAACTGCAAGCAACGTCCAAAATATTAAGAAACAAATTTTTATTTATAGTTGTCTGAAATGTTTTTTAAAGGAAGTTAGATAATTTTTATAGTGATATCAACGATTCCATTCAATGAAATCAATTGTTATCAGTTAAATTGTATGTTCTCAATAAATTTGTGACGATATTTATTTAAAACATTATATATGGTGTCCCACAAATAAGTACTAAAATTTTAACAATCAAAAGCAGCAACTTCTGTCCAATAAATTCTGTAGAAAATTTATATTTTCTGAGGTATTTTGTACCTAGGTACTAAAATAACACTGATAGCTGCCTATGAAATTATCTATCTTAATTTTTGCTAGCCTAAGTACCAAAAACTTATTAATTCCCATTTTGTGTCTTTTATTGTTTAATATTAACTTGAATAACCTTGTCGACATACTCGAGTTGCATGTAATAAACATTTAAATTTTAAGGAATTATATAGTCTTCAATATTAAGTTTTTTAAATTATGCAAAGCTTATTGCTTTCGATGAGTTGAAGCTTAGTTATTTCATCACTACGTATTGAGGATATTGAGGAACTCGTTAGAAGCTAGAATATACCTAACTCCTACAAAAGAAATTATAAAATTTCAAAGCAAACGGCAAATTACAAAGTGACATCTACAGAAATAAACTTATTCATAAATTATCTGATGAGCGTGATTATACTACTATATACTATACTGTATATAATAATATAAAATACTTTTAAGTACGTATATAGGTGTCAGTTAATCTATATTTATGACGGGACCATAAAATAAGTAATAGCTTTTGCGTAGCACATAATAGTAGTAGTAGTAGTAGTAGTAAAACAGTAATAGCTAGTGTGAAAAATTAACTTCCATAAGTTTGTTTTTAAAATATAACCGATATGAGGGAAAACATTAGTGGTTTTTCGCTGTGACACTCACAAAATTACTACAACATAGTGAAAAATATATGGACCTATTATTTAGAGTAGGTATGTAGAAACATTTTCCAAAAATTGCTGTTATGATATCAAATGTAACATTCTTAGCCAAATAAACGTTTTAATTATTATTGAGTTATATCATTAAAAAACCATTAATGCCTTTTACCAAAACAGATTACCATTTATAGTTAGACAAAATAAAAGCATTTTTATTGGCTGAATTCAAGAACCCTTTATCGATGAATCATTATTGCAGTACATGTTTCAGTCAATCTATTAGAAAGTTTAATGACCGCTCAAGTGTAGTTATTTCTATAAATCAATGAATGTGGCATATAGAAAAATTATATAATTGCGCTAGGTAGCGCAATGAATCATATAAACCCATCAAGAAATATAGCATCATAATATCCATGAAATTCACGTGGACTGACACGAGTCACAAACTATATGCATAGATCTGACTGAAAAATAATCTTAATTGTGTGAAATTAATTTTGACAGTAAAATGTCAAATAGGGAGTCATTGTGGAATATTTTTACACAAATAACAAAATCAAATTTGCCACAAATAAATCGAGTTTGAGTTATTTTCTAACATCGTAAATAAAACATCCAGGAAATAATTTAACTAAAAACGTTAATGGTATAATGCAATCTATTTTGTACAATTTGTAGTAAAACTGATAAATTTATATCGAACAAAAAAATCCCTTAATAGTAAAGCAAACATCGTAATCGGAAGTCAAGTACTTGCATCAGTAAAAGTAGTAATAGTCGTATTTTACTTACAGTATGGGGAACAGAATCACAGAAAATATACACTTCTGCCACATATTAACCATGTTTCAAATAAACGTGACATCAAATCTACTGTCAATACAGACCACACCCCGATGCGACTCTTAGAAACTAAAATTGACAACAGGATCTAATATTTGGTATGTTTAAGTTTATCTCAGACATTTATGACTTCTACGTTATGATATTTATCTGATACGAAACAATAAATATTGATATCAAATATTTGCTTATAACTAAACGGCACCAGGGGATATAATTTTTATCTGCCTTTTCCTCTCAATATACAGTATGTTCTCTAATAAAAATAACAAGTCATTACTCATCGAAATTTATATCTATAATTTTCAAGCATGTCTCTTCGTAAATATCATATATTTTTTTCATAAATAACTATCTTTATACCTACTTCAGTTTCTATAACAAAATTCTAATACCACCAATGATCTACTGCGATAAATATGTTTTAGTAATATAATGGACTAAAAATTTTTCTTTCACGTCATCAAATGTAAAGGACGTTGCTTCTGTTACGATGGACCCCTATTTTTTACCCTTCAATTTATAGAATTTTCCCCCAAAAATAATAAAACAAGCCAGCTTATGTGACTTTCGCGCACAATTTTTCACTTTTAAGAGTTGTGATGCACATATTTTATACATGCTCTATTTCCCTTGTATTAATCATTCTTTTGTCCTGTTTCGGAAAACAACTATTATTTATCACTGGAAGTCTTGACATTGGGAAATTGTTTCAATTTCCCTTTGGAGTTTTCAGAGAAAATGTTATTTCCTCCTACACGAAACATATTTTTAATTAATCGGTTTTAGAACATTATAACATTGCGAAGAAACAGGTTCCGGAAAATGGCTCTAATTCTAATGAAATATTAAATTATTCATATAAATAAACACTGCATTATTTTAAATGCAATAATTAAAATTTTAAATTTTAAAATAAAAATGTTTTAAAATGATCAATTCGTTTTACTTTGGCATTAAATACAGGCTGTTAATGAACTTATATCAAAAATTTAAAGGGATGAAGTTTAAGGTCATAGAGAAAAAAACATTAAAAATGTGTTTCAAACTGTTTTGGAACTGTTGAAACATATGTATTTTATCGCGGTGAGTACTTATAAAACATTATGTAACACTTTTTACGAATTTGTAGGTATCTTATGAAGCGAGCCTGTATTCGAAAGTCAGTTTGTAATACATTGTTGTAGTGATTGCTGTGCTGTTTTTTTGAGAGTACATTTAATAGCCGTATTTCCAAGTTTTCTTTTGAAAATGGCGCCTTTATTTAGCAATCGCGAATATTATGATATGCTCATAATTTATGGCGAAGCAAACGAAAATGCCCACAGAGCTTGTCAAGTATACCGTGCAAGATATTTAGATTTCGTCGAAGAAGATCTGCGTAGCACCAGAAATATCGCAAAGCAAGTAAATATTTCGCATCCTGTTGTGTGGCGGACATTACGAGATCATATGGGCCGATATCGTCTTTGTTAAATAAACATCATTGTTATAGATAACTAAACTATAATTTGATATTTTTATTTATAATTATGTGGTATCTAACATTTTCATAATTAATACTTAGATATAATATCTGTACCGTAACAAACCTAAACTGGTGACTTCCACGGACGGCGTATTGTTATATACGTTATATTTCATTGCATTTATTTATTATGTTTGCCAAATTGATTGTACAACTTCACAACCAATAACGACTTGAGGACAAATTCAAAATACTGACTAACAGTACACCTACGATGTGACTGTTTGACACTGAGTAAGCAAAATGCCCGAGTCACTTAACGCTTCCGAAATGTCAGTTTTTAGTTTAATTACAATTATTCACTTTTCATAAGCCCCCTCAAAGTCAACTTCTCTTGTCGCAAGCCGCACAACGGGCCTGACCTAAATAAACAAAGGATTTGTACCTCGCCTCCAGCAACACAATGTAATCATTTTAAACTTACTACAACATCGCCCGATTTCACAAGTTACCTGGCGGTACTGTCTACAAACTTGGCATTGTTCTGCGACATTTCTATATGTGGTACATATACAGCTCACTTGACATGAAATTGGTGTAAGTATTTAAATTTATCTTGACTGGAAGAACAAGATACCCGCTGGAGAATAACTGAATTTTTAAGGTGAAGTGGCAGTTTATTAAATATTTATACGGAAGGATCCAGTGTTTTCCATTATTAAAACGATGTTCTTCCTAAGGAATCCATCATCCAAATGTAATTCCGTTCTAGACATTTTTTTGAATTATTACTTAATATAGAAGTAAAATATGAGGACGGTATTGAGATTGATGAATCACAAAGGAAATAAGTATTTTTTTTCTAATTACCTAAATACTGAAGAATTATCGTGTTTAATCCTTTTGTTTATTCTTAATGAAATTTATTCACTTTAAATAACAAACATTCAATTATTTTCCAACGACTACTTGATCCTTCCACCGCTAATGTGATTTTTAGGTGGTATTTCTTTTGATGATATTGCTTATAACTTTTAAACGGGAAATAATACAGAAAAATTTCTCTAATAAAAGTTTATTATCATAAACAGAGCTTTTTATAGGAAAAAATGGGTATGTTTCTGGAAAAAATATAATGACGTCATTAGTCGATTCTGTCAAATCCCAAAGTTAATATTTTCAATCCAAAATGGGGCTTACCTCATCCCATTTAAGAGTACGTGTCCAAATTTTATTTTAATTTTTCGTATCCCCACAGGCCCATACTATCGAGCTTGAGACACAATCAACTATATTCCTTATATTGATTTGTTTAATATACTTTCTTCTGCTTTCCTTCTAACTTGTAATAGGTGCATATAAGAATATTTTACTAATATAATTTACAATCGTTAATAGCTGAATCTTGAGTGGATGTACATTTAGATCGTTTGTTGCAATCCAAATGCATTGTGCTTTTTGGAATTTTAATTACAGTGACCGACGGCGTACTGAGGGGTTTTCCACGTAATTTGCGCACAATCTCAGCTACACACTCTCCGTACTTTAATGAATTTTCACAATGCACAATGCTGCCAACTTTTCGGAATGAAGCACAATTCAAATCCTGTGTTATTCTTGAGACACCCTCCAGAAAATATTATATTTCCACTTAGAACTAATATACTGTTATGGGTATGAATATGTGTTTGTGTATGCGCCAATCTTTTTTTTGAATAGTGATATGTAATTTGTATGTAATATGTTTGTATAATGTTTATGTTGAAATGTTGGTTGTCTATTTTACGCTGGCAAGCTCTCGACCCTTCTCAGTAGTAAGTTCACATGAAGGTACAAACTCTGCATGAAACCACACAACACACCACACTAAACAAAATATGTTATTTAGAAATTATTTTTTTATTATATTATTTTTTTATATATCAATAAAAATCCACTGTGAATGTCAAACACAATTAAAGAATATTTAGAAGTCTCCTATAATATTTTTGTAACACTTTGAAAAAGATTTTATCTAGGTGTATTTACTTTAATTTATTTTTATGTATTGTTGGTTGCCTACAGTGTAAAATTTTTAATTTTGATCTTATAATTTCTTATTCAATGTGTTACTGACTTATTGCTAATATTAATATCTATTAAATTTTAAAATGGCCAAATTTTGATAATTATTTAGATAGTGAAACCAAATTTCTTTGATATGAAAATTTTAATTATATGAAAATTTTGTGTTACTTATGCCCTTTTTGATTGTATTTTTCAATCTATTTTAGCTAGCTAGCGGTTTCGTATACGATTTTGGTCTACTTTGTGCATAAGAAAAAGAAAAGAAAAGGTACCTTCCTGTATGACTTGTTGATTTATCAATTGTCGACTGGCTTCCCGCGTATACTATGCCTAGATATTGTTCTGGAATCCTCGTCTTTCTGTTCTGACTGGATTTCCGGAGCCTGCTGCTGGTATCCTCGTCTTTCTGCTCTCACTGAATTTCCGGAACCTGCTGATTATATCCTCGTCTTTATGCTCTCACTGGATTTCCGGAACATGCTGATGGTATCCTTGTCTTTCTGCTCTCTCTGGATTTCCGGAACCTGCTGCTGGTATTCTCGTCTTTCTGCTCTCACTGGAATCTTCTTGAGTCACTTTTCCAATATAATTACTTCTATGTATCTGGTTTCTCCCAATTTACTTCTTTTAACAACTCTCTCTGACAAAATCTCACGGTAACTAATTCTATTTTATCTGTTTTTTTTACCAATTAACTTCTTTAACACCTCTCTGACAAATTTCTCGGTAACTATCTCTATTTATCTAGTTTTTATCAATTAACTTTTGTTTAACACCTCTCTCTGACAAAATTGTTTATGGTAACTAATCAATAATTTCTCCAATTTTATTTTTCCTACTCTCTTGATTTTTTTTCTTTGTTAGGGTCCTTCCACATATATGCCTTTTCTTTTTAAATGCCGTTTTCTTTCTACACTTCACGTCACTTCACTTTATACTTTACAAATTTACAATCCTATTCTAGTTTCTTTACAAAAGTTTTAAATTAAATTTCAAAATATTCCTTACTTCTATATTTGTATTTGACTTTTATATGTAATATTTTATAACTTGTGGATCCAACTTTATTTTTGACATTTACCTGACATTTTCATCTTATTGATATATAAATTTCACTTAAGACCTTAATTTTTCTTGCTACTTATTTTTCTCAAATTACTACTATTTTATAAAACTGCCATTTTATCTTTAGTTTGATATATGTCACTTGCGATTTCTAATTAATTTTAATTATGTTTTTCTAATAACACCTTTGGCATGTACTCTATTTGACCAAAATGATAATATTTTTATACTTAAATCTCTGAAATTTATTCTGTTCTAGTAATCCGACTCTGCTAATAATTCATAAAACCTATTCAATACTAACAAATTTTTTTTTAATCAAATATTTTTCTTAGTTTTATAACAATTGTTTCCACCTTTCTCTTCACCGTGTTGTATTCAAGTAGAATTTTAATTTAACTTTTATAAATTGTTCTCAATACTATGATTTCATCTCAATACATTGTGCAGTAG